ATTTCTAGCGAGAAATTACTACTGTAGTAATCAAATACAGGGGCGGTTTCTTCATTAGGGCGATAGGGCAACGTACAACCAAAGTGCGAAAGGCACGGATTTTTTCAATCACATTCAACTACAGTTTTATGCTAGCTGGCACTGCTCTAGACTGTACTGCCTCTGGTCTGGCTATAGTCCAATCAGCGTCAAGTCACGGTCTGTGGAGTACCGCCTCTTTTCGGGGCGATTTCAATCTGTTCTCATAGACTTCCATTCAAAGATTTTTTTTTTTTCGCACTGCAGTGCAATCTATTGGTTCCGGGAGGGCTAGCCCTAACGTGCTTTCGTCATAATACAGTACATAACCTTAACTCGTGCAGCGTTTGGTGGGAGCAAACATATCTCTATTAATAATCTTTAAGCTGAAGGGACATACAATAATTTCCTCAGTGCATAACTTACATTTCACAGACATTGCCCATCTGTAAATGTTAGAAAGTCAAGCAAATATTTCCATTTTGCTGTTAGGAGTGGACGAGTCTTGTGCAAGTACAAATTTCCGTGAACAAGTGCTGCCGCGCACATGCGTGCCAAACAGACGGAGCGCAATAGAATAGGAGAATGAGATGAAATATCGGTGAGAGATGACAGAGGTTTTGCTGTTTATGATGGATATGTCTAGATACATGTCCAGGGTGTGAGCGATCTGGTTGCTACTTCAGTTTAATTTTGATTTCAATCTACTGTATAATTGTGTGCTTTATTAAAATTATTTATGGTGTTGTGAAATATGTTTGCGGTTACTTTTTATGTTGTGTAGGCCAGTCTGCTGGAAGAAGGGTGAGGCCGACATGGCACGTGAGCATATTTCTGCTTCCGGGACCGGACATCTCCAGACTACCTTCAGCCAGTGAACGTGCTCAAATGACAGAGAAGGGATTAGGTAACTTTTATTATTACTACTTGCTTTTTGTATGGTACTGTAGCAATATCTGGAGCGATCAGTTACCTTTACGTATTTATGTATAATGTTTGAGCTGTAGCTTTTAAATGTTTGTCTGTAATCCTGAGTTTAATAATGTGACTTTTAAATTACCAAATTTAATGCAGAATACAAGTTACTTGAGAAATGAACTACACTGCAAAAAATGAAATCGTAAAAAAAACGGCCAATGACTGTAAGCTACGGCTGCCAAACAAAAACAGTAAAATTGTACCTCTAGTAAAATAAAGTGCAAAAAACCTGAACAGAAATTTTTCTTAAATGTTTTACAGAAAAACCGTTATTTTACAGATATATCCTGAATTATTATGACCAAACACTGCGAAAAAGTGACTGTCAGCAATGGCTGCCAAACAAAAAGTTAAATGAATGTTAATGTATCCTAATTTAAATAAAGCGCAAAAAAAGTTTTTTCATGAAACAAATTTTCATGAAACAGTTTTTTTTATATAGGCATTTCCTGAATTATTACTAACAAATGAAGGTAATTGATTGTACTAATTTAGGAAATACCTGTAAAATAAGTGGGGTTTTTTTCCCCGTTTATTTAAATTAGGATGTTTTACTTCAATTTTACATTTTTGTTTGTCATATGACCATTTTTTTTTTTACAATGAAGGTATTTGATTGTTATTGTACAGAGTTTTGAGTACAAATTAAAATAAAATAAAACGACTGTAAAAAGATGGGTTATTTTCCGTAAAATTAGGATTTTTGTTTTTACAGTGTACTCCTTTCTAAACTTTAATTTTTTTTTTTTTTAGACCGTTGAGGAACGTAGGGCAATGTGCCAGCTACAAGATCAGGGATATAGTGCTTCATTGTTGGCGGACAGAGAAAAGGTATGTTTTTATAATGTACATTTAATTAAAGGGTTAGTTCACCCAAAAATGAAATTTCAGTCATTAATTACTCACCCTTATGTTGTTCCAAACCCCTAAGACCTTCGTTCATCTTCAGAACACAAATTAAGATTTTTAATGAAATCCGAGAGCTCTCTGATCCCTCCATAGACAGCAATGTAACTGCAACTTTAGTAGTACACATGTACATATTTAGTAGTACATTTGATATATGTAGTGGTACATATATCGTTAAAATAGTCCATGTGACTGCAGTGGTAGTGTAGACAGCACAGGTCTTCAGAGTTTTATGTCAGAATGCTGGCTGGCTCACTATTGGCTGGATCCTGCATCAGCCTTACGTGGTGCTCATGTGAACAGCGTTCTGGCGCAAAACTCAGAAGCGATGCGCTGTTTACTCTGTGGATAGCGTAGCAAGATGAAATGGAGTAGAAGAGATTGTTGAATAAAGTAGTTTTTTTTCTTCTTCTTTTTCTTGTTTTTCTTCTTCATAAAGTATTCTCGTCGCTGCATAAGATTATGGTTGAACCACTGCAGTCACATGGACCATTTGAACAATGTCTTTACTGCCTTTCTGGGACTTGAAAGTTGCAGTTACCAAACTGTATGGATGGATGAGAAAGCTCTCGGATTTCATCAAAAATATCTTAATTTGAGTAATAATGACATAACTTTCATTTTTAGGTGAACTAACCCTTTTAATTAGGAATTCATTTAAAAACACATGATCAACTAAATTTCTTACATTAGGAGATGAGACGCCAACAACTTCAGGCTCAGGAGGAAAGACGCCTAAAGGTAACTGCTTCCTTAAACTTTTTGTAATTCAAAAGTCTTAAAGCTGTCAAATATAATAATTGATTTGTTAAAGGCAATTCATGAACGACGACAGAGGATGGCGTCTGTCCCAGAGCCTTCAGATGGTGTCCCTCTAAGGTTTAAATTTCCGAATGGACAGATGAAAAGCAGAAAATTTAGGATGTCAGAATCAGTTCAGGTAATGTGTCATACTATGATGTTTTGTTTATGGTACTTCAAGAGTTAGTTCACCCAAAATTTATTACTCACCCTCATGTCGTTCCAAACCCGTAAGACCTTCGTTCATCTTCAGAATACAAATTAAGATATTTTTGATGAAATCCGA